TACTTTTAATCTTTCATGCCATGAAGTAGTCTTGGTTCATGAGCTATAACGCATTTTCAAAAACCCTGTGTGGAAACTAATTTCAGGATCTAGGCTGCTAATAAAGAGGGAGGTCACCGCTGCACTCTATTGAGGAATCTTTTGCATTCCAATTGCGAAATGACACCAAAGCTGATAAAAAAAAAAGTGAGCGGTCACTATTTCACTCTCCTAACAGCTGAACTTATTTTGGAGTGCTGTGGTACTGCAGTATGAGGCGTCATGTGTGTTGAAGTAAGCTGAATAAAGAGGATTACAGCTGGCTGTTATTCTCTCCATTCAAGGCCCATTTTAAGCCACCACCAGACTCAAACCACCAGTTTGACATACCTAAAGCTCTGGCTGTTTTATAAATACTTGTTTCATACATCCTGATGAGGTTTTTTGCAAAGTTTGACATGTTTGTTTACTCAGCAGTTAACAAAATTAGTATGGCAAATTTGATCAAGAAAATAAAAGGTTGTTTAGGATGCTGGTAATGCACCGTGTCATCTAATGATGTAATGAGAAGTTATGTTCCCGGAAATGACTCAACCAAAATCATGCATCATAATCCAAACAAGAGCACACCCTGTTGTCATTGTGTGAATCCGTACCATTGAAGTGAATGAGCGTAATGTTTAATCTGTACTGTGTGTCATCTGAGTCTCATCTGAAAACCATTTTTTTCTCTTTACAGCCAACTCTGAACTGCTGTAAGCCAGTGGAGGCCAGGCTGGACTAATGGTAGGAGGCACTGTTTATCTCTCTCTAAACCTATTTAACTCCTTATCATATTTGTCTTTCAACATCTATTGTGATATTGTCATGAAGAGATTGCCATGTCAGTCTAAACTAATTTGAGCATGTCCAAAACAAATAAGCTAGACTGAGTTGAAAAAAGGTTGTGCTTTGTGGATAAATGATTTGTTGAGTGGCCATCTGGGGTTGTGGAATTGCCTCGGCTACACTAAGGGTTTGTCACCTCACCAAGTTCACTTCTGTGTTTAAGGGCGTACTCACACTATGTACAGTTGCCGTGAATCGGGCCAAAGCACCCTTGCCCCCTCTCCTGTCTCCCCCGACCGCCTGCACTCGCATTACATTTGGGCCTGGGCGAGCTTACATCATCGATGCTGCGCTGTTCAGTAAGTGCTCTCACTCAGCACAGTGGAGATTTCTTTAGTTATAGTGCTTAGTCAATTGGGATGCCGTGAAACACAGTCAAATATTTCGCCTGACAGATCAGCCACTTTTGATGCTCATAAAGAGTCATAAAGTTCTCGTGCTGCAGGAATTAGAATGTTTGCTGAAGGTGCGCAGCTGGCGTGCAGTGAGGAGTCTGCGTCTTTAATAAACTACGACAGTTTGCGTTCATTGAACAGTGAGAATGATGAATTAATCCATATTAAACAGTCCCATAAAAGTCACGTCTCGCTTTCAGTTTCTGGCTAAGGCGCGTTTTGCACTCAAGCGTTACACAACCGCGCTAAAGCCCAAGTGAACCGCTCTCAGACTCAGGCACACCTCTTCCAACCGGGCCAGGGCCGGCCAAGGGAACCGATTAAGCACACTAATACTTCTCAAACGATCTGGGAAACGGGCCTGGGCACGGTTCAGATAGCATAGTGTGAGTAGGCCCTAACAACGCCAAACCTATAACTCATCACTTCATACATTCACACCTTAACTTTGAGTTAGGGCTGCACGATTATTTAAAATAAGCTTGAGATTTTGATGAATGTTTCAAAGCACATTATGGCACTGTGATATGACAAGTGAACAGCTCAATATCTTACAGTGTTTGCTGTTAAGTTCAAGTTGCATGTTAGGGTATGTTAACAGGTAAGTTGCATTTGGGGACAAAATGTGCCATACATATCTACACAATAAAAAAAATCTTCAAAAAAAGGTATAATTCACCCACACAAGAAAATTCTGCCATCAATTACTCACCTTTGAGTTAATTTTTGTGGTCTGTTGAACGGAAAAAAAATATGGCAGAGTCAGAGCTGCACCATTCTGGCTAAAATGAGAATTACAAAAATTTTGTATTCTTTTAAAATTTATTATTATCATATTTTTTATGGGCTTAAATAAAGATCACAATTTTTTCACGATTCTATAGATGTAAAATAAAGGTTAATATGAGTGTGCTATTATTATTGTTATTTCTCAAACGTGTGGCAAAACAGCAATAGGCTTTGTGTAGCTGTACTGTTGGTTAAAACGCAAAATTTTGTATAGAATTGGAATGGTGGACTTGAACAGACTTTAGATTTGTCCTGGTCATTAATGCTGATGATAATTCTGATGTTGAATTATTGTGTTTGAGACATATGCTAACAATCTGTAATTTTCGGCTTAAAATCTGTCACTGACGGGATTTTCGTGAATACAGAAGACTGGGTGGGTATTTTTGTATTTCAGCGGGTTTTGGATACTTTTTGGGCTGGAATCAGTCAGCTACATCTGGCAACACTGTGCGCTTTCGGTTTTATTTTCACTGCTAAAAGCAGTTCACCTCCCGCGCGGTTCCCAAACTATCACTCTTTGCCATAAACAGAATGTTATTTACAACTTTATTACCTGTTATTCACAGCCTATGCTGGATCTGTTCACTTAAGTAGACTTCATTCACAGGCGCGCACCCGCCAGCCCTCTCTGTGGTAACAGCTCACATCACATGTGATTTTACGGTTGCAAATACATTACATGAAGACAGAAATGACATTTTTGGGGTGAATTATATCTTATAAATACAGCATGTGATTCTTTCAACACCATTTGGAGGTGTCCACGTTGCTGAAAAATGTATGTAAAGCAATGAGAATACTTGTGCGGCCACCTTTAATCCACTCCTGAACTTGAAAATATGATTGTCAGAATCGTAGAAATGCTAGATTAAGATTGTCTAGGGGTTAAATCGAGATTGCGATCTTTTTGCAGCTCTAGTCAGGGTTCAGTGCTTATGATTTTTTTCTACTGGCCTCAGAGTTTTACTTGCCCTGCCAAAAATGTCACTGGCCCCTCCAAAAAAAAAAAAAAGAAGTTAATAGCTATTTCTTACACATGTTTTAAATGTGTCAAAAGCCAAACATAGTTGTATACATAAACTTTTTATTCAGCATAACTTTTCCTTAACACTACTGACAATTTAAAAAAATACAGTTGAGATTGTAACTAAATTTGAAAAAACAAAACAAAAATAATATATATATATATATATATATATATATATATATATATATATATATATATATATATATATATAAATTATAATTTATATATAATTTAATAATTATATATATATAACTTAATAATCAAAAATATGCACTTGAACACTGTGCACCCACAGACATCGTCACCAATTATAAATCAGAGAGGTAAGACTTCCTCATACATAGCCTCATTTCAGTTGTCAAGTTTTGTAAAAATCTATCTATTAAATTATTCAATCTAATAAAGAAAACTTTGGCTTGAATTATGCATATAGGTTTAAATCATAGACAGAAATAACAGAGACTGCTGTCTGATCATGTAGCACATCAATGTCGATCTTTTTCTAGAGGTGTCAGGGCAGAAATTAACAAAACAATAGGCCTAATGCAAAATATCATAAGATTAAAATATGGAAACATGATCAGAGGGTGATTTCTGTCAATTTCCTAGTTAGTTAGTTGTATCATTTTGCTTTCTCACTACAATCGATCTGCTTTAGAGTTCATTTCAATCGAGCAGAGACCAACTCATTCAGGCGACCTCAGACAGGATCATGGATTGCGAATCTGAAAGCAATTACGGGATTCACATATGCAAAGAACCGCGTTAACTGGACAAACGACTAGGTGAGAAAACACCCTATTTGCACACAATTGACAAACAGTCACTGCCAAATTAAACTTTAGTGACATTGCAGCACTGGCCCAGTCCGACCAGTAAAACTACTACTAAGTCTACTGTCCTGAACAGCTTGCACGCTGGCCCCTGGCCATCGGGCAGTCCTTATTGTTGAGCCCGGTATGTGGTAAGATATGGTAGCCATTGACATCCATAGTAGGAAAAACAAATACTATGCAAGTCATTGGTGACAGATCTCCGACATACTTTAATATATTTTATTTTCAAGATATGTTATACATTAAAACATTTCAACTAGTTTGGAACAAATGAAGGGGAAGTAAATGATGACAGATTTTTTCAGGTGAACTATGCCTTTTAATGAGAAGGTCTGGTGGTGTGATATTTAAAAAAAGTCATATTAAGATGATAATATTAGTCTTAAAAACATCCTACAAAATATGAAATTGATTTTTGTTCCCATCAAATCATGTAGCCCTATTTTGCATACATGCTTTTGACCTTATCCACAGGGGAGCTTATAGGGATTATTTGAGGAATTTCTGCAATGATTTACAAAAAAGGGTCTGAAATTGTGCAATTAAATCTGTTGCACCAGAAGTGTTTTCATAACAGTTGACCCAAAGACCCTTCAGGCATTTCAGAAATTAGCATCTTCATTGTTTGCTTTTTGTAGTGCTGTCATACCTCATTTGCTTGGCAAAACCCATGGCTGTAGATTTCTAGTACCTGTCAGTAGTGATATTGCTAATGTAGTTTTAGTTGGTTGGCTCAGAACCTCTGAGGTGTAGCTTATTTAATCCATGACTTCACTCTCATTAATATATTGGCGAGACATGATCACGAATGGCAATGCAATCCATCTACAAAGGGCTAAAAAAAAAAGTCAGCTGCATCTTCTTGCCTCTGAGCCATCCAATGTGCTGCTTTTGTGATGTAGTTGTAGCTTGTTTTCCATCGCTCACAGCTGCATGACATAATCCATTTTATTTTCCTTCTGTGGTAGACGAGCATGACTTTGCGCCAAACCACAGATGCATGTACGCTCTCAGAGTCCACCTGACTGCTGCCACCCTCTGCTTCCTGGCTTTTGAAACAGCCTATCAGGGGGCTGGTGGAGGCGGGGCTTAGCTAGACCCCTGTGCTGACCCTCTGAGTGAGACTGGCGCCTCCTGATGGACCAGGGTGGTAGCGAGCAGCCTGGGGCGGAGGAGCCAGACTCTGGGGGTCGAGCAGAGCGGGAGGTGAGCAGGAGGGCTTCCGAGCCTGATCACGGCCTGTCCAAAATTACCCACAATGCTTTGGAGAACATGGGCGCGCTGGGCCATGGCCTGAAGCACTTCTTCCAACCCCAGCGCAGGCGTTCATCCGTCTCGCCACACGACTACACCTCTTCTTCCACAGGCCCCATCCTTGAACCTCCAGAAGTGGGGCCAGAGTTGGGGGAAGCGCAAGGCATCACGGTCGCCCCTAACTCTGACCCTCACACTTCCGCCCCCCCTGCAGCTTTGAGTCGCGTGCTGCAGCAGATTCGAGGCCCCCCCATGATGAAGAGAGGGACCAGCCTGCAGAGCCGCCGCAGCAAGGCAGGGGGGGTAGGGGAGGCCCCCCAAAAAGGCAGTCCTCAGATCCACAGGCGCAGTACCCAGGACCCATTGCTGCAGGCAGGACGGCCACGCTCCTCTTCTACCACCGATACACCCAGCAGCCCAGCTTTGGTGGACATGTTGCTGACCTCAGGGTACCACTCCACCGAGGAGGCTGATCGGGTGAGTGTCATATAGTGTACTTCACACATCAAGTCTACCACGATCACTGATTGTCATTGCCAGCCATTATCATCTACGGTTTCAGTAATAAAGAAGTTTGGAAAAAAAAATCTAAAATCTAAAAAAATCTAGATCAAAATCTAGGTTGTTGGACACTAGAAAGCTTTTCATTTAGCTATATATTATTATATTCTGTTGCCGTACTTTTTAGGGTTGTTCCGATTAGAGTTGTGGACCTACACTGGTCTCACGGTTCGTTACGATTATCATGCTGTCGATTTGATTCAATTTGATATCTTGGTGCATCACGGTGCATTAACCCTTTACATTAACAATTTGATATTTTACTTGGCAACACAATAATTCTTGTATTAAAACAAGCAGTCAGATATATGTACTGTACCTTTAGTTTTACCTGCTCAAAGAAACACACTATTTTTGAATGTATGAAATAAAACTCAAGTACATGCACAGAACTACATGATCAACTGTGTCTGGATCCACAAGTAACGTTATAGTTGTAACAGCCGAGAAAGTAGATCAAACATTACCTCACAAATACGCCAGCAGTTCAAAGGCGCCACAGAGAGTGAGGCAGAGAGAGAGAGGGTTAACAGCTTTCATTTTTTCCTATGTAGGATCTGATGTACTTGCCTGTCAGTGAAAGGCTGTCCAGCAAACTCACAAGGACTGAATTGTGCAGTTATCTGCTTTTTAAGTAGTTAGAGCGTTTTAATTACTCACGGTCTCATCCTTCACCATAGTAAGCTACCGCCATATAACACATTTGTGATAAATGACATCAGTACATAATAATCGGCTATGATTATTACTGAACTGATTCTGAATTGTTCGCGTCTGCATCGTGGTGCACCAAGGAAACAATTCATCTTGACACCCCTAGTTCCCATACCGTATTATATATATTATTATTATATATATATATATACTACTATTGGAAATACTTGCAGATACTGCAAAAATTCTAGCATCGGTGTTGGCAAGTATTTGAAAACACAAACTAATCGGATACCATATTTTTAAATGAGACATGTCCGCTAGCTTTGCTAATGCACTATTTAATTTTTTTTAACAATACTGAATTTTAAGTTTCAAAGAGTTTATTTTTTGCTTTATATTTCTTTAATTTATGCAGACTTTTTTACCAAGTATTTTATACTAAGTTATACTGTAAAAATACAGTTTTTTTTTCAGTGTATAGTGTTTGATTTGTGGCTGAGCTTGTACAGTCAATTTTTTTACTGGTGAATGAATGTCTGATAATAAAACTAGTTGTATTTGTTTTTTTTAATGGATAAGTGTGAAGCACAACGTAAATTATTCTGTCATTTTCTACAGGGCTAGTAGTATACACAATTATTTCTGCAGATACACACTCGGGTTTCGATTCAGCACTCGTTATCGCTGATACCATGAGCTCAGGTATCAGAGTCAATATCGGAAAAGGAAAAATGCTATTGAAACATGCCTAGTTATTTTACACTTTAGTATTATGTGTTCTGACCTTTGGTATTTCTTTGTCAACTTCTTAACATTTATCCATTAGATTAAATGACTTGTATTATAATGACTGTTCATACGTTTTTCATTAACAACAGGTTAAACATCGCAAACCTTTCTGTATTATTTCTTTAGTCTAAAAATAATTTGTCAGCAAAATAAGGAAACCAATATTATATAAAATGTAGTAATAGATGCATTAATTTTTAATATGTTTCAAATGAGGAATTGTACAATTACAAGAGTACATTTGGCCCATCATGGTTTTCATGTACTTGTAATCATTTTGCCAGAGGGATGTGAACAGTGTTTATTAAAAGGTGATAGTAGCTTGTGTGAAAGTAATGGGAAGACAGATTTGAATTGAACAGCAATCTGTGCAGATGGCAATCTGTTGCCTGCTGCGTGTGTCTGAAAGAAACCTCCAGGATGGATGGATGAGTTGACAGCGTTCACAGGTCAGGAAGCTTGTGTAGCAGGTCACTATGTTCTCTAAGCCTTGCTATATTTAGCCAGGTCTTTGGATGCACTTCAGTTCAGAGCACTTCTGCAGTCAGCATTGAGCATTATGTCAAATTCAATGCTTTCCTCCCTCTTTCCAACCAGGATGTAGGATCAGGATAGCTGTTTGCTTTCATTTGTCCTCAAGGATACAGTCAAGGTTAAGTTTGCTCTAGCAGGACAGGTGCAGCAACTTTATTTAGAACTGCAGTTCAGATTGTTGAAAAACCAGTTAATTTTTTGCTACTGCTCACTCAAAATAGCAATCAGAATTTATTTACCGGGAAAAAAGTTGACCAAGACTACTGGATTAAGTCTCTAGGGGGTCATTATACTCACAGTTCACAGTACTATGCTTTTAAGCATGCCTTTTTAACAGCTAAGCATTTTTCACCAGACACACTAAATTGTCTGGGTGACTGCCAAAGTGCTTCATCTCACCTGTTGTTGAAGAACTAAGTGGCACCATCGAGAAAGTTCTCTCTCTCATAAGAGTTTCCAAACATAAGCTCCACATTTATTTCAGGATGCATCTATAGACAAAATTCCAGAAAAAAAAAATAAAAAAAAAAAAAAAAATATATATATATATATATATATATATTAATATTTAATTATTTAACTTTTAAATGTTTTATTTATATATATATATAAAAAATTGTATATATATATATATATATATATATATATATATATATATATATATATATATATATATATATATATATAATAGTGTTTTTCCCCATATGCTAGCCTCTAAATGCAATTACAGTGTAGTTTCACAGCTTACGATGTTGGTAGTGAAACTAGAGGCCAACGTACAGAGTTAGCTTAGCTCCGTAAGAGGCTTTAACACTTTTGTTAATCAAACAGAACTGATTCCTGGATAAACGAGCAGAAAATCCTCTTTTGACCAGTTAGGTGTGAAAAAGGCATTTGCAAGTCAGCTGGAACATCTCAAACTGATATCATCTGGACCTTATCAAATGACCTGTCAACCACATGATCAGTTTACCAAGGTTTTCCTGTGGCTACATAACCGGAAATCTATCCATGTTTTGTATATTGTGTTGCAATGGGGGGGACTCCTCATTGGCAGTAAACATCTGATCTTATTGGCAAATGAATCATTTGTAAATCATGATCAAACAATGCTGCTGGCTCTCTTAGTCAGTTTTATAAAGACTCTGATGGATGCTTGGATTGTCCACAGCTGTTTATCTAAGATCAGTGAAGGCCATATCACTGATAATCTGGTTTCGACTTGGCTGTCAATAGGTGTTCAGAGTTCAGTTTTTTGCAAGGTTGCACTAAAGAATTCACACAATCAAAGTGTATTGATTAAATTCTTTGGTTATTTAAATACACATTCAAAAGAAGAAACTTCATTTATTTTTCTTTAATATTGGTAACTTTTTAAAAAAGTTTTAATTAATGATGAGGTGCAATGTGCCATTCTTTATCAGTTAATGCCCTGCATTATCTCAGAATTTTGAGGGCTATGTCATAGTACAGAGGTCCAAACTGTTAACGTCACCTGAGACTAGTGTAGTCACTCACATACAGTAGTTTAAACGTGGCACGTCTTTCAAAATGGAACGTACTGAAAGTGCACCGACATTAATGGTAATGGTTTTATTCTTGTTAAAGAATGTAGTTCAGAGTCTTACTTTTTAAAAATGTATTTGTGACTGATATCTGACTTGGTCATCATCAGAGTGCAGTACAGTTTAGTGCATAATTTTATCATTAAGTGCATAATTGGTTCTTTTGGAACAGAGTCACTCTTGTACATTAAAATAATTTATTTAGATAACTTGGGTTATTACCAGTAAGCAGCTTTATATTAAGGTTAGGCATAAGCCGATGTTCTATAATTCAAGATATTGTGATGGTGGTATTGATATTGATGTGGCAATTAAAAAATCATGAATAATTAGATTGTTTTTTTACCTTTTAGGATTATTAATATTGTATTTGCAGTGGTGTTTTAATATTGTATTTGCGGTGGTGTGTAATTGGTTAGTTGAATTGTACAAACATTAACATTTTCTCATGTTAAATGGGCCTGCTCAGTGCTAAAATATTGATTGAAAATTCTATTGATTATTTATAGAGCTGTTGTACATTAACACCACAATAAGGCTCCAATAGTTAACATAAGATTATTTAACTAAACTTACGCTAAAAACTTCAAAAAAGTTTTAAAAGTTGTAATCTTTTTATTAAATGGATTTTATAACTAATGATTTAATAACTAACTAAATTTCTTTGTATTACTTTTACTGATATTAACGCAGTAACTGTAAGAAATATTAACTTCTTTCTCACTGTTGATTTTTTAATGATGAGCGACCTTATTGTAATGTTTTACTTTTTGTTCTGTATATACAATACAGCAATAAAGCAAAACTTTTTATTATAACTGTAAAAGTAATTGTTTTGCTGCTTATGTCAATTCTCTGAAAATAAGCTTCATCACTAGGTATATCGCTGTTTGCAAAAGTCAAGGTTTTAAATCCATCAAAATCTTCTGCTATAGCATTCGTTAAGTATGTGTAAAGTTTTTTTTACTTTTAGGACAACAGTATCTCCAGCAAAAAATTATATCTAAAGATGCTGTTTTATTTTAAGAAAACTGTGTTTTTGAAACGCGTGTAGAAAATAGAACTTTACTGCCCCAAAATGTTATAAATGTTTCTCGAAATATAATATATTAATATTAATATATCAATGTATAAATATGTGTTGCGCTCTTTAAAAAAAAATAAAAAAAACAGCCACGGAAATCTACAGTGTTTAGAAAATGAAAGAAAAGAAAGCATTTTGTAGGAACCTTTTGGTGTTTAGGAAAGCTTAATAGCTCACTGTTATCAAATCAAAAGATAAGAGAATTAAAAACTGCACTGTTGTCATAGATTGATTATGAAATATTTTGTGGCCTAGACTATATAGGTCTGGCTATGCACAAATAGTTTGTATTACAGCACAGCATTCCCAGCAGGCACAGGACATCAACATGACATCAGATTGACATTTTACCATAACGTTGGGGGATGTTGAATTTGGTTAAGAAATACAAATTGGATTGACGTTAGAACCCAACGTCAAGCTGACTTCAATGCACAATGTCCGACTTAAAATCAACCAAATATCAATGTCTAATGATAATACGGCTTGACATTGTATGGACGTTAGGGCTGGGCGATTTGACCTAACATCAAAATCTTGATTAATTGAACATTTTAACTCTATTATAATTAATGAATGATTATTTTATTTATTTATTGTATGTTTTTGCCCTCATTATTTACTGACAAGTTACAGTCAATACAGATTTTTGAATGTTGAATTTTTGTTTGGTTGATTTTAAAACAATTGAAGTAAACACACTCTATCTATTATCTATAATTAGTTTTTGAACATCAGCGCTGAACAACTATTAAAACACACATTAAAACATATAAAAAAACTAATTTAAACCACCCACTCTTGCCACTGCTACCAAACTGACCAATCACAAAGCTTGAGCTGTGCGTCGTTGTGACGTGTCGTTAAATTTTTTTGAGAGGTGCACGGGTATATAAAAGCTACGCCAGACCGAACGCATGCACTTGGCAGAAGTTTAGTATCAGAATAATATAATAAGTATAAATCATAAAATAATAAGTATAAATTAGTCTGAAAAGGGCAGCGTCATGTGACTCCACATGCGGTAGGGGAACGTAATTGAAAAAATGTACCTGGAAAAATTAGATTGATTATAGGTTCTCACTTTTCGATTAATCGCCCAGCCTTAGTGGACATTACCTCTATGACATCTACCAGACATTGGATTTTGGTTGTCATACCTGACGAATAAATGTTAGTATTTGTCATCAATTGACTCACTTTCTAACACAACCTAAAATCAACCAAATATCAACGTCGTTATTGAAGGTTAAAATAACAGTGTACTTAGATGCTTGCTGGACATTGAATTTTGGTCAGCTGACGCATGACCTTAATCTAACCTAATATTAATAACGTCTTATGATATTGTGTGCCTGCAGGGATTCTTTCAGCATTATCCTGAATAGTGTGTCATTTTGTATAACACATGATATTGTGACTACAAAATCTTACTCTTCCCTTTGCAGCAAGATCGTTTGGAGGTGTCGGGCCCTGCAGTGTCTCCCAACGCTCTGTCTACATGCTCAGATGGCGGTCAGTACGGTGTGGATTCAGTGGATGGCACCCTGGATCCTCAGCGCACAAAGCAGGCCATTGCTCAGCTACAGCAGAAGATTCTTAAACTCACAGAGCAGATCAAAATCGAACAAACAGCAAGAGACGACAATGTAGCCGAGTACTTGAAGCTGGCAAACAACGCAGACAAACAGCAGAGCACTCGCATCAAGCAGGTGTTCGAGAAGAAGAACCAGAAGTCTGCGCAGACCATCCAGCAGCTGCAGAGGAAGCTGGAGCATTATCATCGCAAGCTCCGAGAGGTGGAGCACAATGGAATACCACGCCAGCCCAAAGATGTCCTGCGAGACATGCACCAGGGTCTGAAGGATGTGGGTGCCAAGGTAAAGGCTGTCTCCTTTCCTTACTTCTAGGGTTGTGCTATATGTTGTAGAAAAAGTCTATCGTTTCATGTTATGCTCTATCATTTATTTTGTGGTATTACAAAATACATTGTTTACAGTAATACTTTTTCATAACTGTTATGGGAGCAATATTGCACACTATTGGGGGGATTCAGACAGAAACAAGAAATAACAGCATTGTGAGAAAGTTGAATCCTAAAAGTGCGACGTTAACGTTTTGCTTTCGATTTAGCAATACATGTCATTTTTACGTTTGATCTGCAATCATTAATGTTTGATAAATGTTTCATATGTTTTTATCACAGTCCTTAGTATTTATTAGTGAGAACAATTATCACACACTGTAAAAAGTAAGTATGTAAAATTTACTGTAAAAAAGGCAGTACTCCACCGTTAACAATACGGTACAAATTGTAAAAGTAATTTGTCGTTTTTACAGTAAAATAGTCCCTTACATGTAATATGTCTGTATTTTGAATTACCAACATCTACACATCTTTTGTTACACAGATAAACACTTTAACACAGCCAAATACAGGTGGTGATGAGAAAGTTGCATAATGAACCAATGCTCATCACAAACAACTTTTCGAACAAGCAGAAAAGTGTATCAGATTATAGAAGGTGGTCAATGTCATTCACACAGCTACTAAACACCAGTATGGTAACACGCATAAAATAAAGTCATGAAATAAACATTTTTTATCAACATTAGATGTAACATAAATCTCTAATGTACATAACTGATGGAGAAACAACTAAAAAGATTCATATCAATGTCGACAAAACGCATAAAAAGTGACGTGCCATGCAGGGAATTACAAGAAAGTCAATTTATCGTTATTCGCCCTATATATTAAGGAAGCATACTATTAACCAGGTTATGGATTTTTACTGTAGCATTTTTAGTTTTTTACCATTGAAATCACAGCCAGTTTTAACGGTCGTATAAAAGAGTAGATTTCTGAGAAAAAGAAATAGTCCTATACCTGTAGTCAATACATATACAAAATATTAATTGGCTGAATTTACATTTTATATATATATAGTTATTATGATATGAAATGACTTGTATAGCGAGATGAGATTTTTGTCATATCACCCAGCCCTAAATGTAATGTGTTTGGTGTAGATGTGGGCTTGTCTTGGTGAGATCAAATAGGGCTTTTAAGTGATTCTTATGACACATGCGTTGGGAGCAGTCATGTACTTTGTCAGAAAGCTACATTTGGATCTTTATACTAATTGAAAGAGTTTACTGAAATACCTGATTAGCAACCCTTGATGTTGTTAATTAGGTTATGATGATGATGATGATGTTTGTGTTAGGTCCCTTCACAAACCTATTAAGCTACCTTGCTGCATACAGCCTAAATTCCGCTAAAGGCTGGAATGCACTACATGACTTTTCCCAAAGACTGTTCACCTTATTGTTTGCGTGTGAGCGGGCACAGCCTTTTGAATCTTTTTGGCTTGAGACTTTTAGTCTCGTTCACTTCCATTCATTTTTAGACGTTAATAACTTGTTATGCTGCTTGCTTGATGATGCAAACTGACATTTTCTTTTTATATTATTCTAATCGCACGGGAGGTTGAGCAGTGAGGCCGAAATCATGTCGCGTTTCCACTGTGGGGCTAGTAGCTTGCAGCGCGTCAGCAAACCCCGCCCCCAGAACATCCCCCGAATCGAACGTCACTCAAACGCCCACTTCAGCGAGAATCATGCAGATAAAGCACACCATCACATCATCACAAAACTATTAAAATAGGACAACCAAAACAAACAAATGACACGTTACTGTACAGTAGTACAACGCATGTCTATACGCACATGCCTGTGTGTTTTTATTTATCATATTCATTTACTTGCCGACCGACTGGCATCGAAATCCAGTGGTCTTGCCACCAACGGAGGGACCCAGTGCAGGGAGCGCACACATCCATAATTTAACACCACATATATGAAATTATCCGTTAATAACTCGATATAAAATGCATTTTATAACATCCTCTAGACAGACGCTGTCCAACATTCATCCCAAATGCTCCGGAGAGAACTGAAACATGATTATTTTTCCCTATAGGTTTTATGACACTTAATAGGTGATTCCCTTTATTTAAAGATGTTGCTTATTATATCTTAAGTAAAGGAAAGTGTTCAGTGTTTCAGCACATAAGAGCAGCACTTTATAAAATATTGCCTATATTTCATTGCACTCAGCAGCAATGCACTAATAAAGCTCTTTATGTATTTTAAATTTCCTTTTTTAATTTTACCACGTTATATAAAAACATACACACTTGTTTGAGGACACAGAACACATTTTGAACTTGCAGTTTTCCCCGTCAAAAAAGTGCTGCGCAGCTGGAAGACAGAAAAAAAGGTCGCCTAGTTTCTGCGTTCACTCACCCCGAAAATGCTCTGTTTGCATGATTTGATTAATATCATCGTATCCAAATACTTAATAAATAATATTTAAAACATTTTCCGGTGTTTATTTATTTATTTATTTTTTAGAAAATCTTTTTTTCAAAGAGGCTTTTGAAAAATGAAAGTTTAATATAAATTTGACACAGTTCGATATAGTACCTAATTGTTATAGCTATAGCTTTTGTTAGTTTTATATTGGTTTATTTATTTAATGTGATTTTATTATAGGCCTATCTGATATTTGTAATTCTTTAAATTATTTAAATATAGCTTAGCTATTTTATCTAGATATGACACTATTGTTTTGAGTCTACAAAAGCGGACATGAAATTTGTAAAGTTTAATGTCTTTCTGTTGTATTCATATAGTGTATTATTTCCAAAATAAATTAAAACAATGAAAAGAAAAGAAAAAAGCCGTTCGCGGCATCAACAGAGCTATGAATGGAGCGCTCTTTTCCCTGGTCTCACACATATACACAGTCATCTAAACGCGCAAAAACACTTATTAAACTTGACAAAACCTCTTGAAATCCTTTACTGTCTGCTGTGTCTTTAATATGGTGTAAAGATTAGTATGCGTTATTGAAACATCAAAGAGATGCAGCAAAGAAAAGTGACTTATTAAAACTATCATTTTATGCAACAACCTTACATTTAAAAGAGGAACATAAGGGCGATCATATGCAAAAAAGACCCCAGCCTATAATTTGTTCCCGATGTTTTCTTTCTCTTATTTATTTATTTATTTATTTATTTGTTTGGCGCATGTACTCCTGTGCGATCGAAAAACTGTGCCCGCCTCTCCTTTCACTCCGCCCCGAAGCCCCGGCTGGCCCTCTTTGGCCCAAGGTATTCGGCGGGCCGAAAAAGGCCGGCCGCTGGCCCCAAGAAAGCCCCACTTTGGCCCGATTAGGCCCCGGAAGTGACAGTGGAAACGCCACTGGCCTTGGCTCGCCCTGGCTCGCTCGCTTTAGGCGCGATAGTGGAAACGCGGCTGTAGACACACTTTTTTGTAGAGCAAGTTGTTTGACCATTTTCTGCGGTTTATTATTCCTAGTCATTTCTCCCATAGATAACTGAATCTGAAGTTCTAAAATAATAGCGAAAACGCACGCACTTCCACATTGAAGAATAAGGTCAATAGATATGCATAGACAGTAGGGTTGGCTATCATTTGGGTTTTTTCGATACCAGTGCTAAATCGATACTTTTAAAACAATACCGATGCCAATACAGTGCCTGAACGATACTTTTTAGCCTCAAAATTACAGTATATGACTCTAGAAAAATCTTTTATTTGACAACATCTTTTAAAAAATAATTTTAATAGAACAATATAATTTAAGTTTAAAGTAAACCTCAATTCATATTTTATATATTTGAATTACATTAATATATTTCCTTTGATCATTTGTTGGTTAGCATAAATTTAAGATTTGCATTATGAAATTACATTAGCTTACTAGTATGGGCGGGACAGGCAGGGGCCACATACTTTTGGGAGCACATTTTAACACGTATCACAAAATAAAAAATCATTTTTTTCATGCATTACTCTGCAGTCTTCATAAATAAGATAATTAAGTAACTTAAACTCAAAATAATCTTACTTGTTTATTTATTTGTAAAGTAACTTTGTACTGGTGTAGGATAACACATTTCTAACATTCAAGTACATCAAGGCACATTGTTGCACCTGTAAACAGACAGGCCTACAGTTGAAGTTAATTTATTTTGCCCTCCCATTCATTTAAAATAATGTTTCTGAAATTTTTCACAGTGTTTCCTAAAACATAATTATTCTGGAGTCATAATAAGTTGTATTTCTAATTGTTTATTTCTTGAATAAAAGCATTTTTTTCTTAAAAAAAAATTAAGGTCAGTATTATTAGCCTCCTTAAGAAATATGTACTGTATATTTTTGATATACAAAACAAATCAGTTACAATTATTTCTAATTATTTCAACTTTTGTTGTTAACTGATTAAGTCTAAATTACACTTTAATCTTAATAAAAAACTATAAAATACTTAAAGGGACTTTGTCTGAATACAAATGTCTTGCCGAATAACTAGTAAAATGTTCTGCACTGACTGCATGTGAAGATAAAACAGTAGATATTAGAAACGAGTTAGTTAAACTATTATGTTTAAAAATGTGTTGTAAATAAATCCTGTGTTGAAGACGGAAATCAAAAATGAGTGAAGGCAAAACTAAACAAGTTGAATATGACTTCCATGAGCGTGACTGAAAACTACATTTGATCAATGTGTTACATCTGTTCTTTGGTACTTGCCGACTGTTATTAAATTCAATACTGCTTTTCCTAATGTAAAACTATGTACACTAGATTTCTGATTAATAATGGTTAGGGGTGTCAAAATTAATAGTTTCTTCGGTGCACCGCGATGCAGATGCAGACAATTCGATATTGGTTCAGTAATAACCATAACCGGTTATTACTGTCGTCATTTACCTCATATGCGCTCTGTTGTGAGGGAGGCGAGCGTGAGTATTTACAACGCTCTAACTACTTAAAACTCATA